ACTAAAAATGCAAATTCCAAATATGGAATGATTACACATGTCCTTTAATAAAAACAAACATGGCTGCCACCAGGGTTTGACCAGACTCCATACAAAGAAGTTTGCTGATTCTGTTCTAAACTTTTTGGGTTTTGGCATTCCCATAATGCATCCTTGGTAGGAAGAGATGTATAATAATAATAATAAGGTTATTACAAAGATACCTTAAAATATGCACTCAGACAGTACGCTGTCGCATCGGCCTTCGCTGCGCGTCAGTTGATACTGCCGCTGTACTGTCTTCATGCATACTTTGAGGTATCTTCGTAATAACCTTATATTACTCTGTATAAGGTCTCCTAATACATGTATGTTTCTCAGATACAGACTTTATTATTTCACTTACCTGATATTTAATGATATACGCTGCTATAAGAACTCCTATACTCTGTATAAGGTCCCCTAATACGTGGATGAATGCTGCTCGCACATTAATGTTCCTTTTTTCTTTTTTTGTCTGTGCGTCTGTCGAACTATTCTCACTCACAGTTAAAGACTTTTCACAGTCATTTATAACAAGCAAATCTGATTGGTTGGCACTGTTGCTATGGGACACAGCATAGTTTGCACCATTTTGTGACTCAGTGACATTTGAACTGCGACTGTGTGAACTACGATCTGTGTTTCCATGGCTGTGTGAACTTTGACCCATGCCTCCATGGCTATGGCCATGACCTGCCTGATGAAGAACGCACCCGAGGCTGAAATAAAAACACAAAAAAAAAAACAAGGAAAGATTATAGTATAATATCTGCATTAATTACATAATCCTGGTCTATACAACGTTGTATTGCCATATAGACCAATACACCAGTCAGTATTCAGATATGAATTAGTAACTTACAATATATTGACAGCAACACCACAGCCAGCTGTTAATATCATAATATCTGCATTAATTACATAATCCTGGTCTATACAACGTTGTATTGCCATATAGACCAATACACCAGTCAGTATCCAAATGATGAGCACACTCACTACAGCACCAATCACCTCTGTAAAGAGAAAGAAGGTTAGGTTAATTTGTTGCTAAACATGAGACATTGTATCAACCCATAATGCAAATAGACTGATATGCTAATTAGGTGTGTATACAGACTTACCAGCTCTATGGTAACCAAATGACATTCTTCTAGTGGCTGGTCTAGTAGCCACCCATAATGCAAATAGACTGATATGCTAATTAGGTGTGTATACAGACTTACCAGCTCTATGGTAACCAAATGACATTCTTCTAGTGGCTGGTCTAGTAGCCATCCATAATGCAAATAGACTGATATGCTAATTAGGTATGTATACAGACTTACCAGCTCTATGGTAACCAAATGACATTCTTCTAGTGGCTGGTCTAGTAGC